CAACAGAGTTCCCCCTACAGGCAGCAATTGCAGATGGAGGTTTAGCAGGCCAATTGACAGGTACTAATTCTTGGACAAATCATACACTAAAATATGGCAAAAGTAGTTAAGACCTGTGAAATTAAAAACATGTTAAAAATGTTTAGATGGTGTGCATATGACACTTAATTCCAGCCCAACAGACAGGATAAACAATTCCAATCTTGGATAAAAAAATGGACTAACAACTTTTCTTTCCTTTACATAATACACTACAAAGTTTCCAGGCTTTACAGTCCGTGTATCTATTAGATTGTTCAGACTTCTTCAGGTTTCCACAGATGCGCACCTATTTTAATAAGAACTGCAAAATACCAAATTCAACACCAGTTGAAAGTGAATTCTTGAAAATTCTAAGGTTGGCATAAACCACAACTGTAAATAGGGCTATCTCTATGATTTACAAAGTATTGCTTCAGGCCAAAAAGGAAAACACGTTTCATATATAAGAAAAATGGGAACGCGAATCAAGAATAAAATCAGAAGAAGAATGGGAGAGTACCTGTTGTTTTCACTGCTCTTCCACCAACTCTTTGGAGTGGAGGGAGCATTGTTGGAAAAAAAATCATAAGATATTTTAAGACTCCTTATCAAGGTAAATATAAGAACGCAAACCCAGAGTGTTGGAAGCAATGCGGCTCGACAGAAGCAAATCGTTACCACATTTTCTGGGATTGCCCCAAGTTAAGCAGTTACTGGGTGGGTATTAGCAACGTGTAGAATGAAGTGTTTAAAATCCAAATTACGTGTGACTTTCAAAACATACTTGGGTAAGGCAGCAAAGTTGGTAAAAGGAAAATATACTAAACTGTTTCAGGCCCTTTTAGCGGGCTAGTAAGAAAGCAATTACAAGAAAGTGGTTGAGCCTTACCCCTCCACAATTAGAATGGCTCCAGGTTATCCTGGACATCTATGAAATTGAACATACTCTTTAAGAATCTAGAAAGAAAGACTTTATGAGATTTGGAACAAATGGGTAATATACAGCCCCCTTCTCAAGTGGATTTGTATGACTTTTCCAGACCTTTTTTTTTCCAATTTCAGAATTTTCACCTTGACCTGATTGTTCTGTAAGTGCTTAAGAACATGTATAAAGTGCTGTTTCTTCTTATTTTTCTTGATTGTTCTACTTTTTTCCTCTTTTTCCTTCTTTCTTTTCTCCACTCTGTCCATAATATTACAGAAAACTGAGAAAGGTATAGAAGAGCAAGTTACGTGAGAAAAGACTGTAAAGTGAAGTTGCCTTTTTCAATAAAAATGATCATTTTAAAAATTAAAAAGAACTGCAGTTGCCAGGAAAAAGACAGAGGAAGAACAACAAGGAGCTATAAAGATGCAGTTAGAGAAGACATGGAGGTATAGTTGGAGTGAGGACAGAGGATGCAGAGGACAGAGTGAGATGGAGGATGATGACATGTTGTAACAACCCTTGAAAAAGGAACAGCAGAAAAAAAGAATTTTATGAAGAAGAAAAAAACATTTATACCTATATGTATTTTTAAAGAATAAAAAAAACCATCAATATCATCTATCCTAAACATGTGAACCCAGCTTCCCCTGCATAAACGTAAATGTTTCATTTGCTCAAAGTTGAACCATGAAAAGGTCAATGGCAAGAAACAACATTTAGAAAATGAGATCCCATTATATTCACTAACCCAAACCTTCTTCTAATAACTACACCCGGGTAGCACGGTGTCACAGTTGGTAGAGCTGCCGCCTCTCAGCGAGCAGGTCGCCCCGGTTCAAATCTCGGCCGGGGGCCTTTCTGGGTATTCTTTCCGTGCATGCGTGGGTTTTCTCAGGATACTCTTCCCACAGACCCAAAACAAGCATGTTAGACTGATTGGTAACTCTAAATTGTCTCTAGGTGAGAGTGATTGAATGGTTGTTTGTCTCGTTTGTGTCCCTGTGATGGACTGGAGACCTGTCCAGAGTGGCCCCCACCTCTTGCACAGTGATAGCTGGATATAGGCAATAGTGACTCCCACGACCCGAAAAGGAAGAAGAGGGTAAAGATAATGGATGGATGATTAGAAAAAGTATGTAATGTATCCTTATACATACCTTATACATTATACATATAAACAATTTGTGAAAATGGAACAACCCAGTTAGATGTTACAACCCTTGTTTTGCTAAAGTAAATAGAACAGTCACAACCACACCTGTAACATATACAAACCGGATTCCAAAAAAGTTGGGACACTAAACAAATTGTGAATAAAAACTGAATGCAATGACGTGGAGGTGCCAACATCTAATATTTTATTCAGAATAGAACACAAATCACAGATCAAAAGTTTAAACAGAGAGAATGTATCATTTTAAGGGAAAAATCTGTTGTTTCCAAATTTCATGGCGTCAACAAATCCCAAAAAGTTGGGACAAGTCCATTGCCACTGTGTGGCATACCCCCTTCTTCTTACAACACTCAACAGACATCTGGGGACAGAGGAGACAAGTTTCTCAAGTTTAGAAATAGGAATGCTCTCCCATTCATGTCTAATACAGGCCTCTAACTGTTCAGTCGTCTCGGGCCTTCTTTGTCGCACCTTCCTCTTTATGATTTGCCAAGTGTTCTCTATAGGTGAAAGATCTGGACTGCAGGCTGGCAATTTCAGTACCCGGATCCTTCTCTTACGTAGCCATGATGTTGTGATTGCTGCAGAATGTGGTCTGGCATTATCGTGTTGTAAAATGCAGGGTCTTCCCTGAAAGAGATGACGTCTAGATGGGAGCATATGTTGTTCTAGAACCTGAACATTGTTCTCTGCATTAATGGTGCCTTTCCAGACATGCAAGCTGCCCATGCCACAAGCGCTCATGCAACCCCATACCATCAGTGATGCAGGCTTCTGAACAAAGCATTGATAACAACTTGGGCTATCCTTGTCCTCTCTGGTCCAGATGACATGGCATCCCAGTGTTCCATAAAGAATTTCAAATCGTGACTCATCTGACCATAGAACAGTCTTCCATTTTGCCACACTCCATTTTAAATTACCCCTGGCCCAGTGCAAACGTCTGAGCTTGTGGAGCTTGCTTAGAAATGGCTTCTTCTTTGCACTGTAGAGTTTCAGCTGGCAACGGCGGATGGCACGGTGGATTGTGTTCACTGACAATGCTTTCTGGAAGTATTCCTAAGCCCATTCTGTTATTTCCTTGACAATGGCATTCCTGTTTGAGGTGCAGCAACGTTTAAGGGACCGGAGATCACGAGCATCCAGTAGAGTTTTACGGCCTTGACCCTTACGCACAGTGATTGTTCCAGATTCTCTGAATCTTTTTGATGATGTTATGCACGGTTGATGATGATAACTTAAAAGTCTTTGCTATTTTACGCTGGGTAACACCATTCTGGTATTGCTGCACTATGTTTCTGTGCAACGATGTTAGAATTGGTGATCCTCTTACCATCTTGGCTTCTGAGAGACACTGACACTCTGAGAAGCTCTTTTTATACCCAATCATGTTGTCAATTGATCTAATTAGTGTTAATTGGTCTTCCAGCTGTTCGTTATATGCTCAATTTCCTTTTTCCAGCCACTTATTGCTACTTGTCCCAACTTTTTTGGGATTTGTTGACACTGTGAAATTTTGAATCAACATATTTTTCCTTTAAAATGTTACATTTACTCAGATTAAACTTTTGATCTGTCATCTATGTTATATTACGAATAAAATATTGACATTTGCCATCTCCACATCGTTGCATTCAGTTTTTATTCACAATTTGTTTAGTGTCCCAACTTTTTTGGAATCCGGTTTGTACATGTTATGTTATGTTACATTTCTAATTTTATTAATTATGAATAGATAATATGCTTCAGTGCTTGGGCACATTTATTTATTTTATTAACCTTTATTTAACCAGGCAAATCCCATTGAGATCACAGATCTCTTTTGCAAGGGAGGCCTGGGCCTGAAGGCAGCCTAACATGCACAAACGAGTAAGGAGGGACAACTATGCTTTTCAAAGGCTCACAATGTTAAAAATGTAATTTCTAACTTTTCCTGCCGCATTAACCAAGATAAACACCTTTCTGATCTTTGGTGCTCAAAAGGATATAGATTTTTTTTTTTCATTGTCAAAAGTTTCCATTAAATAATTACAAAAACATAAAAAGGTGTAAGATATTTATCATTGATGCTTGTGTAGCACATAAAAGTAGATTTAAATGACAAGAAAACAACTTAGAAAAAACTAAGCTACCAATACTTTTAGCCTCTTGACATTTGTATGTTTTAATTGAAACAGATGGTAAAACTGCACATCAAAACAGTTCTCGCAAATTCTACTAATCTGAAACTTCTAATAAGCATTTATTTTTGAGTATATTTTACCCTGCTTGTGTATCATTTGTAACACAGTGATGGTTGAAAGTCCCAAACATCTGAACGCCCAGAATTCCATAAAGCAGAAGAAAAAACAGCAAGAAAATAGAGACACTCCAGATTTGTTCCCCTGAACGCCTGCAAAACACAACATAAAGACAGGTTTTTGCATATATTTATATGTAAAGTGACACCTTAATTAATTGAAAAATGCTTGTGACAGTGCTGTACTTAAGAATGTTTGTGATGCGGGAACGGGGAAGCTCAAAACGGAAATAGATTCTGAAGGCCCGGATCATTATCAGTGCTCGTGGAATTCTCAGCATTCCCCATGGAGACATCTGATCCACAAGTCTTCCTATTTCAAACACCTAAATAAAACAACAATGGCAAAAAACAACAACCTTATTATTTAATGGTAAATGGACTGTACTTATACAGCACCTTTCTATCTAATCAAGATACTCAAAGCTCTTTACAACACAATCTGTGACCTCAATTACCCATTCATACAGCACTCCACTAGATCTCTACAAAGAATAATCAGTGCTTTATCACATTCATACACTGATGGGACACACATCGGAGGCAATGAGGGGTTCAGTGTCTTACCCAGGGACACTTCAGCATGTGACTGCTGATGAAATCGAACCCCCAACTCTTGCATTGGCGGACCACTGCTCTGACCACTAAGCCACTGCCGCCCCATTAATTATGAATTGATCAACCAGCATTAGAGATTCAAATATGGTATGGTATAAAGTTTATTCATTTAAAAAAAAGTACAAAACAATTACATAACAATATAAAAAAGATACAAAAAATTTAAAATGAAAGGCAGCAGAACGAAGAAAAAAATCTTATTATATCTGCCCCTTTTTTCAAACAATTATTTCAATCATAATAATTTTCAAGTAACAGAACAAAATGAATAACTCTTTCTAATTTTTCTAATTCTAATACAAAACACACACTAAGCTACTTCATATATACTTTTTTAACAATTCAGCTTTGATCTTTTTCTTAAATGTACACATTGACTTGACATTTTTAACATCACTCTCTAGACCATTCCACAATCCAATTCCTTGGATTGAGGTAGACCTTCCCTCCAGACTAGTTCTGAATTTTGGTTTGACAAATATCTCTATCCCCTTAAGATTATAACTTGAATATAGAACAACCTTAAATATAGAACATGAACCCAAATTATTTGCATTTAAAGGCAAAAACTGAAACTCACCTGAAGCACCAGGGAGACCCAGATGAAAAACACCATGAATCCATCAAACATACACCAGCGATCTTTCACGTAAGAGTTGTCACCCTAAGAGAAAACACAGAAAGAAGGCATCCACATGGACAAGATTTAAAATATAGAGAAAACGAACATGTAATGATACACTTTTACCAGAAATGTTTAACGATGTCTGTCTTTATGGATGTAGACCAGCATTTCTGCCTATTTAAAAAAAAAAAGTTTGACAAAGACCCTTTAAAAATGATAGAAAGTGTTTTTGTGACTTCTGTAATGGCACAACAATATTTTAAAAAGGGCAACCAACAGGAGGTGAAATTACAGTTCCCACTTTGACAGAGTGACCACAATGTTCCAGCAGCCTGTTTTAAACATGATAAGACTAAATTGTTAAGCCCCTGCAGTGTGAACAATCTGAAATGTCAAGGGGCCAGTTAAAAAGGCGTTCCCTAATTACCACTTACAAAGAGAGAGAGACACAGAGCGAATGTAAGAGAGAGAGGGTGAAAGAGAAAGAGGGAGTGAAAGAGAGTGAGTGTGTATGCTAGAAGCTCTTAGGGGGTTCGTCTTCCTCAGGAAGAAAGGATGTAAATGAAAGGGTGTATTCTGAAACTACAGATAAATACCATGTCTTCTTCCACACACTGACAAGAACAAAAGCATGCAATTATGTTCCTACGCTATGTGGATTATTTGTTTTCTGCAATAACATTTAACAACTTGATACACAATAGTAGGTATCATTAAACAATATTATTTGAACATTTTTAAAAAGTCAGCTTTGTTACACTTAGAAATTAAAATCACCACAATATTATTTAAACAGAATGATATAGTTTTCAGCTTGACTATTTTGACCAGCCAATATGGCATCTAAATATCAGTTTTTATTGTTTTTCAAAAAAATTGATTCTACCATAGTTTGTGCTAATAGCAGGATATCTAAGTGTAAAGAAAACTTAAAATTAGTTGTATGTAATATCTGGATAAAAAAGGTTAAAAAAAATTAAAAAGAAAGGAAAACAGTGTACAATAAGAAAAATAAAATTCTTAAAACAAAATCTTGTGGGGATTTTTTTTTCTGTTTGAGATAAAATGTGTTTTGAGATATGGAAAAAATAAAGTTTTGAAATGTTAAGGAGCTATAATTCATTTCAATTCAGTTTATTTCTATAGCACCAAATCACAACAGAAGTTGTCTCAGGGCACTGAACAGAAACATTCACATACATACAAAAGACAATTAGTAAAATTCAATTCAAATTCAAATTCAAAAATACTTTATTAATCCCAAAGGGAAATCGATTGCTGTTGTAGCTCATCATCCTGGTTTCATTAAATAGTTTTTCTAGATGCTGTCTGTAGGCAGGAAGGATCTGCAGCAGTCCGTCCCACAGCGGTTCCGAAGAAAATGGCTACAGATGTCAATCCGTCCACCTGGACTCAGCAGGCCTCTCAGTCCTCTTGGGCAATAGGACTGCCTGAATGCTAGGCAGAACTCACTGAGCAATGGTCACTTCTCCCAGCAGCCTGCCAAGTCCCTCGTTCCCGAGGATGGAACTGCAGGTGTCGAGGGACGATCCTGGTCATCCCGCTGTCACAAGTTGCGTTTTCCGTCAGCTCCAGGATCTCGGCAGTCAGGCACTTGAGCGCCGCCGCCAGGTAGACGAGAATGCATCCATGGCACCTCCTTTTCAACACATCTGGGATTTGGAGCTGTAGCTGAGGTATTATTCGAGCTTTTGAGATGTTAATCAGATGCTCCTATTTGTAGAAAACCACCTTGTTGTTATGGTTACGCATCAAAGTAAAAGTTCTCTATCTAAGGAAGGAAGCCAGAAGACGAGTTGAATCTTGACTTTGTCACAGTCTCCCAACCTGAGCAAGTACAAAGGCAACAGTGGAAAGGAAAAAAAAACCTCCCTTTTAACAGGAAGAAACCTCTAGCAGAACCAAGTTCAGGACAAGTGGCCATCTGCTTCGACCGGCTATACTATCATTTACTAAGAAGATAAACAATATGTTCAAAACTATTTGGCTACACTTGGTAAGTACTAATTTTAGATGTTTCAGTAAGGGTTATGACTAAGCCCTCTATCTCCAGTCATCTTAATGCTTCAGCATATCAAGGCTTTTTGGACAATGTTGTGCTTCCAACTTGGTGGTATCTATGGAGTAGACCATTTTCTACTCCAACATGACTGTGCCCCTGTGCATAAAACAAGAAATATAGAGACTTGTTCTGATTAATTTGGTGTGGCAAACCTTGATTGGACCTGAACCTCAACCCCTTGAAGCCCATTTATGATGAACCTGAACAAAAAGACACATTGAGAAAAAAATGTTTGAAATTTCAATTCAATTCAGTTCAGTTCGTTTCAATTCAAATTCTTTATTAATCCCAAAGGGAAATTAAGTGTTGTTGTAGCTCATCATCCTAGTTTCATTCAAGAGTTGTTATAGATGCTAATAGCTGTGGGCAGAAAGTATCTCCTGCAGCGAATCCAAAGAATCTGCCCACAGATATCGATACGTCCACCCGGATCCAGCTTGCTGTCAGATCCAGCAGGCCTCTTGGTCCTCCTGGGCAGCAGGACTGCCTGCATGCCTGGCAGAATTCTTCCCTGAGCAATGGTCTTTCCTCTCAGCAGTCTGAGCTCCTCGTCGCCACGGCCAGCCAGCTGAAGGTGCTGGAGGATGATCCAGGCCCTCGCATTGTCACGAGCTGAGTTTCCCACCAGTTCCAGGATCTCGGCGGTCCTGTACTTGAGCACCGTCACCAGGTTGATGGGAATTCATCCACAGTGCCTCCTTTTCAACTCATTTGGGATTTGGGGCTGTAGTTGAGATATTTGAGCTTTGCAATGTTAATCAGCTGCTCCTGGTTGTTAAAAAAAAAATAAAAAATTGTTGCCATGGTTACGTATCATAACAAATACCCAAAAGTAAGAAGGTTTCAGTAAAAATCCTTCCAGCAGCACAGCATCTGATACCAGAGTAAATAACCATCCGAAAAAAGCGATTTATATCCAGAAAAAAAGAGGAATTAAGTTTTCAAAAGCAATATCCTGGAACAAATGTAACAAAGCTACTCCAACATGCAGCCACCCCAAGCAGTGCAATTTGAAAGCAAATGAACTCCTATTTTGCAAAATATGCTAAAGATATGAATATTGTATTAAAAAAAGAGTTTTGGCATCGCTTCACTGTTTTGTTTCCCCTGACTAGCACATATACATCAATGGGTTCTGTGAGAGGTTTATAAGTACAGAGTGAAAGATATGCAAAGGTTTCATCTAATTAATATCAAAAGTGCCTCATATTTCTGTTTAAATCCAATATACTCTAGAATTGACCTCCATCAACAGCAACTATATTATGATTAATAATAATTATAACCAATGAAAGTATTTTAAAATACAATCCTTCAATTTATTACTCAACATTATAAAAACAATATTTTTTTTCTGTTCAGCTCTGTTATAGATGTAGATTTTCTGTCAGTGTATTTTTTTTGTAACTTAGCATGGAAAGTCTACAATTTACTCTAAAGCACACTAACAGCTACTTTGTTATGTTCCTCTTTTGGATATTCTTTTAAATTATTAAACAAACTAAT